ACTTGGAGGCAGGCTAACATCACTCGAATTGTTGATGTTGTGACACGGAATAAATTGATGACGAAAGCGGAAATTGAGAAAAAACACAAGACCAGCCTTCAATGGTTTGAATACTTACAATTGCGTCACCTGATTGAGAATACAGATCTAATCAAGGCAGTAACATCCCCAATAACGGACTTTGAATTGTTAATGTGCAGTGCACCTAAAAAACAAGGTTTGATATCGAAAATCTACAAAATCTTATTAGGTAAGATGTATACTAAAACAATGACATATCAAAAGGCGTGGCATTTAGATCTAAATACTTCGCTTTCGGATGATCAATGGTCTCAGATTTGGAGAACGCAACACAGTATGTCAAAATCCTCTGAAATTTTGGAGACTACCTATAAAGTGCTCTCGCGTTGGTACTTAACCCCTGTCAAGCTCTCCCATATATCGAGCACTACTTCGCCAGCATGTTGGAAACTTTGTGGGGAGAGAGCTACATTTTATCACACATGGTGGTCATGCAGGCACATTCTTAAGTTTTGGATGGATGTGAAAACTAAAATACTTACTCTCACAGGTTATGACATACCTCTAGATCCGAAACTCATGCTCTTACACCTGTGGCCGGAAGGGGTTTGTTCAAACAATCAAAGACAATTAATAAATATCTTATTAGCAGCTGCTAAGAGCACTATAGCGACGAAATGGAAGGATAAAGATCCTCCATCTGTGAATGTGTGGCTTTATAAAGTTTGGAGATACTTTTTGTATGACACCATTTCTATTTATAACACCACAGACCAAAATGAATGTGAAATACTTAGTCCTGTTGGGAAATGGTATCCCATCATCGAAAAACTCACTTTTGATGATTTTGACTGGAAAACTATTTACAATGCGAAGTATAAGTTGTTGCTATTGGGTTAATGTTTCTATGACCTTTATGGCTTTGTTCCGTGGAACCTCTCTTTGATTGTATATTTGATTGCATTGGTAGGATAAGTGGATTTCTGTAACTTTTGCTGTTTGTTGTTATACTTTATGGTTGAATACGAATAAAATGTTCTGGTTAAAAAAAACAATAACCCAAGGCTGGGTAGGGGAGGCCAGTATAGTTGAATCTCTGCTGCATCAACCAAAGGCCTGGTGGAACATCTCCATTTTACAGGCCCTGCAGAATTGCGCCAAGTCCTGGGGGCCTCTGATCTCACTTAGGAGAGTGTTCCACCAGGCTGGAGCCAGAGTCTCTGGTCGAGGCTAAGCGGATCTCCTTTGGGTCGGGGGCCACCAGCAGATGTTGATCTGTGGAGCGTAAAGCTCTTTGGGGGACATACAGGGAGAGACGGTCCTGCAGATATGTTGTATGTTTGAAGAACGATTAAATATCTGATGACGTGGTCTTCCTTCATCATTTGATCCTCATGACAAATCTGTGTGGTAGGTTTGGCTAAGGCTGAGTGACTAGCCCAAAGTTACCCAGTGAGCTTCATGGCCACTTGGGGATCTGAACATGAATCTCCCTGGTCTTTGTCTGACACTCTAGCCCGTACAAATTCCATGTTAGGTTGGACATGCACATGTGTAACTCACCAGCCAGGGCCGGCTCGAGGTGTTTCTGCGCCCTAGGCGAGGCTGCCTTGTGGTACAGATGCCAACCTCCCGGTGGGGCCTGGAGACCTCTGGAGCCAGCCACCCTTTTGCTACCGCCGCCACCGCCTCCTCCCCCCCGCAGCTGTCAGACCCAGCGAGCACGCCCCACATGTTCCTGCAGCGCCCTCCAAGATGGAAGAGAGATTTCTCTCGTGCTCCGCTTCCGAAGGCAGTTTGGGAGGGAGGTGGGGGGGGATCCTGTCTCCAGGCGAGGGATGCTAACTGGATGCCTCTCCCCAATTAGCGAAGTGCTGACACTTGGAGAGCTGCTTGCGGGCTTTTGGCGGGGGAGGGGAGGCACAGCTCAGCGCCCCTTCCAGGGCCCAGCACTCTAGGCGAATGCCTAGTTCGCCTAGTGGGTGAGCCGGTCCTGCCACCAGTACCTGGGGTTGTTTCAGATCCAGAAAAGGGTGTGTGGGGAAAGACTTAAGTTCTCTCTCTCTGTGTACCACAGTCCTGATACAACTTGAGCTCTCACGCGCCTGAGAATTAAGTTTCAGCAGGGAACTTCCAGTGCATGTCTGCTTGACAAGACATGGGGCAGACATGGGTGGACACATAAACGGTATAGCGTATAAGTAGACCCTAAGTAACCCCTAGAACAACCATGCAAGATAGGTTTCTACTGTTATTACTGGGCTGTGATAGCAGTATAACTATGGACAGTCCTTTAACATTTTAAAGTAGCTATGTATGAAATCCAGGTAAAACACAGAATATGTAGAGAGAGAGAAATTGTCATGATTGATTTTTGGATTCCTGGGCTACTGAGAGCAGCAGAGGGTTGTACCAAACAGGCTGAAACGGAATGTCTCCACACTAGGACAGCAGGAAGCCCCCACAGTGAGTTTGTGACTGAGGTGATATTTGAACCAGGACTTAACTAGCCCAGACTTTTACCTGGTAGAATATACCATCAATATCCACTTGCCTTGCATAACTTCTCCAACTTTTTGCTGGGGCAACTAGATCCCAGAACTAGCTGTATGGAGACACTCCCGTAGCCACTAGGTTTTCAGGCTGAACATGAGTGTTCTACTACTTCTTCCAGCCTCCGTACTTTCTGACGGAACATCTGCAAGCCAGCGGAGGGAGGTGTCTCCTGCTGCCTTCCAGCCGGAATGGAGTGAATGGACCTCTCCTCTTCCAGAAGCAAGACTCTCTTAGGGCTGGTTTTAGGCTTGCCGCTTGTTCTTTCCTTCAAAGGAATTGTTCCTTAGTTGTTTGATTTAGAAATAGTCATGGAGATGAATAAATGCACTATGGCTGATTTCACATGGGGCAGGAAAAGCCATCCCTATTATGCCACGAATGGCAAGCAGAGCTGACATGCAGGGGGGTGGTATCACATGCCCTATCTCTGCACCACTTGCAGTTAGCACCACCCTTCCTCTCCTGCTTCCTGATTCATACAGACATGGCAACCTGATGACAATCTTGCCAGCCGCCCCCAACATACCAGCAATTCCCCAACAGCTGAACCTTGCTGAGTTTTTTTTTTTTTAAAAATCCTTGTTAAAAAAACAAAAGGGAGGATGCCGGAGCTGAGCATTGCCATTTTGAAAATGGTACTAAGCTCTGCCCTCTCAATATGGAGAAACAGAATGGTTTCAAATTGGCAAAGGTGTCAGACAAGAATGTATTTTATCTCTCTGTCTCTTTGATCTATATGCAGAACATATCATAAGGAAGACTGGATTAGATTTAGATGGTGGAGTGAAAACTGGTGGAAAGAACACTAACAATCTGAGATATTTGTTACTTACTTGTTAAAAGTAATTGCGAGTATGCAGAAGAGATGAAGACATCTATATATCTAATAGCCAAGTTGCCCCCGTGAGTGCGGATCGCTAAATCAGCGCTCCGGGGGCACTTGGG